ATTATGCTTCGAGTCAACTCAAATGTTGCCTTACTCTCCCTACTGTTCATTTGATCTTAGTGAACCAATGAACTGCTAGTCTGGAACAGTGACTAACTCTATTCTTACGGCTACTATATTGATAGATCCTTAAAATCGTTACCATATTACATGATACTTCAGCTCAATTACTAATACTGCTACCACATCCGCCATTCAATTTTAACAATGATCACTGTCCTCATCGTTTTATTCTATTTCACCATTTTTTGTATATAAAATTATTTCGAAATATTTGCAGTAAGAGCATTTATTTATTGTGTACGACCCTTCAAATCTATCAACCGCATTATTGCTCATCTCAAACACATTTGAAATTTCAACGCCATTCACATCTAAACGTATTTCACAACTCTTTCTTTCGCATCATAGAATATTCAACAGCTGTGTTAAAATAAGCGCCTCTAAAAACGGTTACACCTTTAAAAACGATGCATAAAATGTTTTACGACTATAAGAGATTTTTGCTTTTCGGTGAGAGTGCGAAGCCATTATGACACAAACCAGCAATATGACAGCAGGAACCAACGGAAACAAAACTGTGTAAACAAACGCTAAAGATATAAAAATCGTAAACATAAAATAAAAACTTGATGATTCATTTTCATTGCACACACTGATATCTCGCCCCTTTTCGAAGCACAATATAATAAACTTAAGTCAAATTCTTTTTGAAGGAACATAAAAAACGATCCCAACGCAAACTTCTAAATAAACGCTTCCGAATTATCAATTTCCAATTTCACTTCCCAAAAAATGAAATTCAAAAATCAAATCAAACGGTCCAAGTTGTCAAAGAAAATGAACAAAAATTGGGAAACTTCAACAACTGATAATACCAATGCTGTCCAACCAAAACACCCATCATCTATGCTTAAATCAATGAATTTTCATCGAGGATTAACTCAAAATGTTCGATAAACCAAACACGGCTTTGCAAAACACAAAACAAAAAACAACTAAAATAAACATAAAATTACATCAACAACAACACAACGAATCGACTCAAAAAGCAAAACACTCAGCACGAAAAAGCCAAAACTATTTGGTGAGATGAATCAGTCTCAGCACATTCGAATCAAATCAAAATCACCGCTTACGTTGTTGTTGTTGCTGTTCGGGTGTCATTCTATCCGATGACGATCCAATTGAATTCTGCGCTTTCAGTGGTGGAACTATCAGTCCACTTCGGTCAAATCCAGCTTGTTGCAATTCACTGCCACCATCACTCGATACAGTGGCTGCTCGAGGATTTCGTTGTAACGAGTTGAAATTGATGCCGGCACCTGCGGTGGGTTGCGGTGATCCCCGACCGAACACCTTCGAGTAGCTACTCGGCAGACCGGCAGCCATCGAAACGGTGTCGCGATCGTCTTTTTTACCCAGATGCATTTTTCGTTTGAGTGCGCTCAGCGCTGATGAGCCTTCAATTTTCAGAAAATGATTGTTTCATTTCAGTTCAGACCATTCATCAATTTTCACTTCTTCTATCTTATCTTCCAAAGAGCTCTACGAAACTAGATAGCCACTCTGCTCAACGTTCGTGTACCTTGAGATGGCCTGAACTGAAAAAGAAACTTGTCATTTCAAGCATTCGCGTTGATGGCAGAAATAATACCGACGGAGAATCGATGATGAAAATTTGAGTGTTCATCTTGAGGTGGAGACTCATTTATAAACCTCTACCGAATCCAACAACCAACATCCCATTATCGCTCAACAAACTGACATGAGTAGAGTAGAAAAACTTCAAAAGGGTTAAGCTGCTTCCGAATGAAACAAAGGAAAATGTGCTGTGAGGGAGCATCCAAGGAACAGAGTGCAAAGCCCCAAATACAAATAATACCAGTTCAATGAAGAAATATTCAAAAACGAAACAAATTCAACATTCAAAGGTGCAGCAATAACACAGAAGTAGTCAGCAAAGCTGAAGTATTTCTAACTTACCCATACTCCGTATCCCTCTCACTACTGAGTCAAAATTAATGGCGATAAGTTCTTCAAACAAATTCCGATTGAAAATTGAAAAAGTCATCCCAATCCGATACATTCTCATCAAATATAATTAAATTATTTCACCACACAAAAACTTCCACCAAAATTAATGAAAATTAATTCAGTCGAAACTGAAACAAAACACTGAAACTGCTCAGAAAATATTCAAAAACTCAAAAAAACAGACAAAAATACTAACCATGTACAGTGTTCAACGATGTCATTGATGTTGACAGCTTATTCGAGAACTCGAACTTCAGCAGTAATTCACCTCTGTACTTCTGGGTGGCTAAGTCTTCGTTTGCCTTACCCTTTTTGCGCAAACGAAACCACATTGGTGCCATTTTGCCGTACTGTTGACGTAACTGGAACTCTATCACGCCAATACATTCTGCAGTACCCAATACAGTCTTGTGATTCGCCGTTACCGTCAGCACCGAGTCCAGACCGTACACAACACTGGAAAATTACTGCTTTCAAGATTGAGACTAAAGCAAAATGAAAACGTGTCAAGTATGCTGAACATGAACATAGGAAACTGGGAACTCTGAGCTGTCTTGATCTATAAGAGTGTGTGAAGAATATCGAAAGACATGGCCATGTTTATCAAATGAATGAATTGATTCTATCACAAACTGAAGAGTTATCACAAAAATTATTATAAATTCTGACACAAACAAAACTGTCCACGAAATAGATTTTACGAAATCCGGAAAGGACTCACAATTCACATCGTTGATTCCACTCGCAATTGCCGGTTGTTTTTCGTATATCCGTTTGAACTTTACTCTTCCACGAGCCTGGACCGCTAAGTGATAGGCTCACATAAGCATCGATCTTGTTGTGCCCTTTGAGTGCTAGACCACGCGCTGATAGCACTGAAACATTCACACCAAATGTAGCAAATGACAAACCCAAAACTGAACCGATCGCATAAAGAATCTGATTGTAAGAGAGTCACTCACAAAACATATGAATTAATCTTTGGGATGAACGAAAAATAGAATAATTCAACAGCATTGGACGGAAACTTTATCGCATTTTCATGTGACTTCTTCTAAGACAATATGAATATTATTCAAATTTATTGTTCCCATAGAATTCTACACATGCCGTTCCCGAAATTTACGAACTGATGAAATATTAGTTACAGTTCAAAACAACTTATGAAGGCCAGTATAACGTTGTGGGAAATTCAACATTGAAATGGATCAAATTTAAATGAATTAAATGAAGGCAACATGAGCAAATGAATCAAATGGCCAGTATAACGTTGTGGAAATG